TATGTACGTATGTACGTATGTACGTATGTACGTATGTACGTATGTACGTATGTACGTATGTATGTATGTATGTATGTATAATATAGTACGCGTTTATTTGTATTTATTATTTAGTTACTTATATTTATATATTGAGTTATTTACATTTATATTTGTATTACAGTATTTATATCTATACTCTTAGTACATTATATAATATTTAACTATATAATTTGTGTGCGTGTGTCTGTATCTATATGTTGAAACAATTGGGCTCATGCACATCATGACTAAAACCTCGCAAGCCAAGAACGGCTGAGCAATACAGGCAGTAAAATGCAGATTGCACCTGTGGGAGAAAAGCACCCAGGAAACCCAAAACCCAGTGCCAATCAGTTGGATGCTTTGCCTTTCAATGTCAAGTCCGTTGCGTAAACTCTTTGTATAGAACAAACATGAACAAACTGTAGAGCTCCATGTCTGGTGTGACACCTTCCGTTCATCAGCTACAACATGGTGCTTAGGAGGCGAGGTGACCCAGTCAACCCGGTGACCCTGACCCTAGCCAGGTCTCCTGCATTTTTGTCCGAGACGCAGCTAAGAGAAGTCATGAAGCGCGTTTGTGGATGCATGCAGGAACAATGTAAGAAAAATCTTTAATGCCAGCTTCGTGCCAAAGGAATCATGAGTTATGACAGTGGTTCTTGTCTGAAAATTGGGAATGATAGCGCATCCCTAAATCCACTGGTCAATCATCATTAGACTCATTATCCCTAGCTATACTCTCTCTACATATATATATATATATAATGATCATTTGGGGGTAAACCTCCCATTTTCAGACACCAAGGGGAGACACGGATGCTGGCCACGGGCCGTCTTCGCAAAGCCCATCTGTGAGGCAGCGCAAGCATGAAATTTGTCATCCCACAACTTTAGACATGAAAAATAAAGGCATTGAAGTCTGAAAAGTGCCAAACCCATTCGAAATCCATAGGATTGTTTCTTAGATTCTAGAACCATCTAGAACCTATCCCGAGATGTGTGTTGCATGTTGCTTCTGCCTTCCTATTCAACGTGGCGGTTCACCACTACAGGACGGGACTGCACCAGCAGTGTGGACGGCTTAGATTCTCTGGCTTGGCGGCTTGACCTTCAAGCAACTGCCATGACCCCCGTGGGATCTGGGGGCAACATAGGCAAGGCAGATCTTCCGCCGTCACTGACTCACATACTTGATGGTGACAGCCGCTGCAGCTGGAAGGCCATCAATTATCATCAATTGTCATGGCATGTTGCCTGGACATTGCGCAAAAACAACCCAGCAACTTGCCAGAGGGAGCGAATTCAAGCGATTGCAAGGCACTTTGCCGAATTTCAGCGGTGCGGAGCGGTGCTTGGAACGCTACCTCTCGTTGCAGCCCGCCGCGAAATGCTTCTCTGTCGCTGCAGCCACAAGGCAACCCCCTGGAGAGCACAATGCTTTCCCCTCCTTGACCTGGTCCAACCCAACGGCTTGCGTGTCGCTCCAGGAACTGGGGCAAAACGGCGAAGTGTCTTGGTATGTCTTGCTGACATCTAGTCATCATCAATAAATATCAATAACATTCAATAACAATAAATAGTTAATTATATATATATAATGTTGCTCATTTTCGAATGAGCATCCGTCCCCTGAACGTTCAACTGGAGCATCTTATTCAAACTTGAAACATAAAGCCGTGTGTTTTGGCATGCGTGTCTTGGATGGACAGGGGCTGCCTTTGTGTGCGTGTGCGTGTGCGGTGTTTGTGTCACATTGAGCAATCTGTTATGTTTTAGATTTGACTATGTGACATCATTCAAGCACACGTTCTGTCATTTTGGCAGAGATGCTGGCATCGCAGCCTCATGGTTGTGGTGAACCAGTGAACTACACTCAATGGGACCACATCATCCATCCGCTTGTGGGGATGGATGGTCCTGAGCAGATTTTCAAAACCAGGAAGCTCAAGGCGCCAAGTGCCTTCTGCACCAGAAGCGCACTCAAGTCTTCGTTTGAACAATTTTTTGATCGCAGATGATCGCGGAAAGCATGGGAAGGGGAGGTCTTGGGCCAGTGCCACTGGAGGCTGACTTGGAGACTACTGGAGCCCAATACTCATCTAAGACATGTGATGAAATCCGAAGGCTGTAATTGACGTCTGTGGCATTTGGCCCATCCTTCCTACGGGAACTAAGCTATCAGTCAGCCAAATCCCCTGAAGAAATGGTGCAGGTCATGCTCTACTGCCCTGCTTAGGGACAGGATCTGTGTCCAACGGTGGTAGGCGAGTTTTGACTTCTTATAACCATGGTGGAAGTGTCTGATGTCTGTGTATCAAACCCAACACTATGAATATGCTGTTGAAATCTGTTGAATGCAATCGGATCATCTACCCTCCATAAAGTAAACCGAATTGGCCGAATTGATTTGCATGCGCTAATGAATAAGCCCTCCTATACTGTGTCTGGGGCTTCTGATGGCTTCTGCCTCAATGTGGCAGCGTCCTGTTGAAGAATCTCTGGAAATCGGAATTCGAGAGATGGCACTCCCGATCCCGAGATCGCCTCAAAAAGGCACGTACATGAGATCCTTTTGAAAAAATACCATGAGATCAACAAACTGCTGGCTATTTCTGTGACTGTGTGACTGTGTGAAGGCCAGCAGCGTTTTTAATCAGCAAATGCAGGATGTTTTTGGCTTCAGCTGCCCGGCTGAGGGCTTGTCGCGAGACTGGCGGGGGACTGGGCACATTGATAAAGTTTGGAGTAGATGCCTTAGAGCCACTTACATTAAGACATGAGCTCGATGGAAAATGATGGAAACCCACGGGCACCCTGCAAATAACGGCTGGCGAATTGGGAACTCAACCACCATCGTCACCCAGCTGTTTATAAAGAATCGGTACTGAAGACTTGAGGCCCAGGTGCACGAAAGCTAAGGTTCATATGACTTGGAAACATGATGGGGCTTTGATATCGTCAAGAGCTCAGCACGCCCCTGGCAGGATTTGAGCCCGTGACCACCTGCTTCCAAGATCGCTCCAAAATGCCCCGGGAGCTTGGGGAGGAGGGGGGGGCTTGCCCCTCCCTTGCTGAAGCAAGAGTAAACTCCAGCTAGCTACCGCTAGCCTTCGTGATATTTAGGGGAAATTGTGATTCTTAGTGCCCAGACTGGAAGATGTCAACCCCCATTCGAAGTCAACCCGTTCATTCCCGAGATGTCCCGAGTGTCTGGCCAAAACTGTCTTCAGCCATGGCCTTCAATTAAAAAGAGTTAAAACGTGGCTCGTCCATGACTAGATTTCGTTTCTTGATATTTTCATCAGTTCATCATACAGGCTGGTGAAAGGTTCGTGCAGGGATCATCTCCGACAAGCAATCTTGGGACTAAGCGGCACCGTTGCAATTCTGCTGAATGGTTCTCACGTTTTTTTCCATGTTGTTCATCTCAATCTGCCCTCACTGCCACACCTTGTCCCAAGGATTGCCGGGCTGGGTGGCTCGTTGTGCCGTCTTGACCTTAGCAGTGGTTTAGTAGTGGTCCTTCCTTGAGACGCACTCACCTGCTGGACGCTCCCTGAGGCACCTGCCATGTTACTGATCAAATGTCGTCCAGCCAGCCCACCAATCGATGTGGCCTCAGCACACTGACAAAGAAACTCAAGAGAATCACACCAAAACAGACCTGCTTCCACATGACATGTTCCAGGGTGTTTGAGGGAGGCGGGTTGGCTGGACATTCATTTCAATATTTGTGAATCTATGGCCACCTCTTTTGTTCATATTCACTGCGTCCGGGCCTATCTGCCCACGTGCAGCCAGTCACAATTTGATTGGGGCTTCTAAGGATGCTGCCAACCACTTCGTCACGGGAATCGGCAGCTGCACAGTGCCGGCCTGTTACGCTGAACTTTTTTTTTTTGAGCCAACAGAGTTGCAAACTGTGGAGCCCCTCGGCCAAAGACTTCCTCAAATCAAGGTATTGGCATCATGGCCTGAAGTAGTAGGGTCTTTTCCTTGTGGGCATTGCGTCATCTCTTGAAACGTTCCACTCTGACTCACCAAGAGAAAAGCACAAAGTGCAAGACAACCACTGTGCGGGGCAAGCTGCTATGGCAGTTTTGATTGACATGGGTTGACTATCGTCTTCATCCAGTCCAAAGAGTTCATGACAGGGGCTGAGAGCGGAACGGGACCACAGGCTGCCCAAATGCCTTGGCGACAAAATGCAACGGATTGTGATAATCCCCAAGATTACAGCCCCATATAATCATCAATCAACAGCAAGCTGATTGAATGGCAAGGCCTTGCCACACGACAAGGTGCTCTTGACATCGTTCTCCACACGCTTGAAGCCCTTAATGGGGGGTCTGTGGCAGTCATAGCCTGCCCAGGACAGAAACACCAAGACCCACGAAATCCCACGAAGCTCTTTAAAGTCATCTGCCAGTAAGATTTAGTAAGACCTTCCGCAGGTAAACTTATAGATGTATTTTTCCATCTCTCCCAATAAGATGTAGCTTGCCCGGCTTTGCCGGAAATTCTTTGGCAAGCAGATCCGCTTTGCACGTCTGGCATTGCTTGGGCTCTTTGGAAGTGCATCTTCACACCATCACTGGAGCGCCATAGCTTAAGGTGAGATGAGGTTGGCCAAGCGATCCCAGGCGGGATCTTCAGTACTTCTGGAGATCCTCCCAGCTACTGCAGATTTTTTCACACAACCGATGTCATTGAAAGATGGGTGCAATTACAGTAAATTCAAAGACTCTTTGCCTGACCTGATGGGAGCAAGAGGATCCACACCTATCGACCTGACACACAGTTAAATCTGCCAACGTGGCACGGCCTGCTGGATGTTGCCGCACTGGGACTTGCCTGAAACAGCTCCGGTAACACCATCTGATGTTCCAGCTGTGCGGTCATGACTTACGAGTACCATCATTAACGTATATTAACGTCATTAACATCTCACAGAATCTCACAGGTTCTCCTGACTTCGCTTGGGAGAGCGAAGCAGCTGGTCCTCCCTGACTTTGTCGCTGCTCTCCTCAGGTCTGCCGTGACCCGGGGGCAGTGCTGGCAGTGCTGGCAGTGCTGGCTGAGGCTCCACAGTTCCATCTCCAAAATGAAGGCCTTCCATCGGGCCATCCTCGCCATCCTGGCCGTAACCTGGACATGGAGAGATCGATGGGTGAAGGTCTTCAAATTTCTTCAAGCCGCAAACCCATCAATCCCCCTATGTGTTTCATTCCGCATCTGTTTGAATGTTGCTCAAGAATCTGCTGTGGGATTACGAGCCAACCCCGATATCAACTGAGCCAGTATCACCTTGTCTGAAGCTTGCGACCTTTCTCCTCGCGACCATGCAAGACCATTGTGATCTGTCATTTGGACATGTGTGACGAAACTGGATTATGCCACTATTCTCTCTCTCTCTCTCTGTGCCTTTGTACTTCGGTTCACTCCAGTTCACTCCTCTCCGCTGGCTCATCTTTGGAGTCTGCGGAAGCCACATCTGCAAGATCTGCAAGAGGGTTGCACCCATCACCTCTGGTCCAATCCATGCCAGAGATTTGGATCTTTCAGGTGACTACCTCTGGACCGCTAAGCACCCAAAAAATATCCCAACGACTTCCCAGATTTACCAGGCCTATGGTGACTGGTGACACCAAGTGGTCCTTCCCCAAGCGATGCTCCAAGTTGAAGACCTTTGTTTGAAGCTCTTCAAAGTCTTCAGCTGAAACCTCAGGGAACAACTCATATCTTGATGGATGTGTACACATGGGATATGTCATCATATCAGCAAAGTCTTAGCACCCCAAGATTTTATACTCGAGTACAGTATGTCCCATTGTCGGTCTGAATATGTTTTTGCTAGGGTCCAGGGGGGTTGCCCGAAATACATATACTCACGTATACACATATGTACATATGCAAGTGCTTACATATATGCATGCGAACATAGATGACATAGCGACTGCATCACTGAATCAGTGTACATCCAGTTACCGCATGTTACCGCATGGGGTCCACAGCATTCACCGGGCCCAGCAGCGCTCAGGGAAGCAGCGGCCAGAGTCTTGGACATCTCCTTTACTTGGCGCCGCAGGTTTTGGAATGAGATCTGGTCCTCGATTCGCCATCTTGGGCAGATGATGGCAAATGTAAGTCCAAGAAGAAATGTGGGCCCAAAGCCATCCACCAACTTATGGGCCATGAGTAGGGGAACTAACTACTGGATCAGGCATCCACCCACTTCGTACTGAAACGCTGAACAAATGACCACACTAACGCGCAAGACTTTAAAATGGAAGTTCTCCTCAACTCTGGTTGGCAGACCGGAGATCATTGTCTCCAAATGTCTTGCCTGCCAATTGCGAATACCAAAAAAAAACAGCAAGAAAACAGATTCCATACGGTCTCCCACCGCCCAAAAAAATCAAAACAACTTCTACAAGAAGTGCTTCAGCATGTGTTGCGGCCTGCGCCAGAGCTTGCTGGGATGTCTTTTCATTCCGGGAGAGACGGGACTGCATCGCACTGAAACGCTCTTCAAGGCTTTTGAACCCTTTGCTTAAGCCTTGCAGCTGAATAGCCAACCTCAGCTGAACTCAATTTTTGCCAAGTTCCAGGTGTCCAATGGTGTCCGCGCATTTGTTTTCGCTGTGTTTATATCATGTTGTATCCTTCATGTTTGCAGGCCACGTCTTTCAAGGAACCAAAAGCCACCATGTGTTCTGGGATTCTGTTTGTACTTTCACGCACTTTGCATCTACATGCCACTGAGGCTACCACCTCATCTGTTCAAGTGAGCTGTCCAAATTCTTCTCTTCTTTCTTGGGGCTGTTGTGACACAGGTTCCTCGCAATCCGGTACCCTCTGCAACACTTGTGCAAGATTAACATTGAAATTAGAGTGTCTGGATCTCTGCTGCCCTTTGCCCAGGAGAGGAACTCACAGTCGTTGCCAAGTTGCGACAGCCGTTGGCCGTTGAAGTCTTTAGATGACCTGATCAGTTGGTGTCACAAGCTGGTCAAGCTGTGCCCGTCTCGTTTGGACATTTAGGTTCCAAAACTTCTTGATGTGATCACTTCGGCCAAGAGGCATTTGAAGCACTTGGCTTTCAACCTGCAAATTTGGGAGACATCAAAATGCTGCAATCCATGGTCTCCAACTTGCTTGGCGTAGCAGTGCTTAATTCTTGGGTGCAACACGACGCCAGCAGCATCCAGCAGCATCTGTCTTGCTTCGTCGCCTGCTGAAATCTCGCTGGGAAGTCCACTGGCAGCTCCTGCAATAGCCTCTGGGCCGCAGCTCCTGCCTCAAAGGCAGCTCACATTTCAGGCAGCTCGCATGTCTCACTCTCATGGTTCAAACGACAAATGGTGAAAACAGGCAGCTTTTGCTGTCCTCCTCTAATTTGGCACGCCTTTGCCCCATTACCTCAGCAGGACTTGGATCACCGCACCCTGTGCCAATCAGCTGCACCCGCCTTCGCTGCGCTCTCCCCTTCCTCAGCCGCCAGTTGTGACAGCTGGACAGCTGGACAGCTGTCAATGTAAAGCCCCACTGGGCCCAACCAGGCCCAACCTGCTCAAGGAAGGTATCGAATCTCTTTTGCATATCCTCAGACATCAGTGACATTCTTCTGAAAGAAAACCCGTGCGAGGCAAGACATGCTGGAAAAAAGTCCGAGCGACGGATATGACCTCAGAGCATTGTCTCTCTAACCAGTGATGCAAATCGTAATCAGGCAACTGGACCTAGAACTGATCACACCCATGTAGCAATACATTGGCAAAGCAAAGCACGAATTCGGAAGACTTCCGGATTTCTGCAGCTGCATCAGAGAGGGCGGCCTCAACAGCATTGACTTGTTTCTCGTGACAGCAGTGCGCAGACCTACCAATATCCAGCAAGCCTCCCGCGATTCGAGGCGAATAGCGAAGACTTCCAGAAATGTGTGGAGCTCCTGGTGTATCTGCGAGGCGATCGTACCACATTTCTGGCCTTTTGTGTTTCATGTTGTTCCCTCATCTTTTCTGGCCTGGGATGGTCTCTGTCCTGGTGCAGGCTCTCCGAAATCTGATCGATTTGGTAGGACTGCAGCTGTTCGGACACCTTCGGTTGAGACAGTTGTATGTGTCAAATCCTATCTATGAAAACGCCAACTTGCTCTAAGGCCCACACTTTTCTGGGTTCCCGTTCGCTCCTGACCCATGTGGGATCGTGCCAACGAGCTGGGCGAAGTCTCAGGTAGGGGTCCTTACCAGATATTGGCAGTAGGGGCAGGAAGTCTCACTCTGCAAGGGAGGTGACGAAAGAAGCTGAGACCCCTTGACTTACGCTGAGTTGCTGCGATAGCTGCTGTTGCTGCTGTGAGGTTGCTCCTGGAAGAGACTGAAGTCACAGCAGAGCTTTCACTCACAACTGGCCTATGCGTTTGCTCCACAGGACTGGCTCCCTGCTCGCAGCAGATTGTGGTTGATCCCATTCAGCTCGAAGCCAGGGCTGGTTCCCACTCCTGACACTGAGTCTAGGGACCTGTTACCAATGTGGCCATGGAAGTGTGTGTGTGTGTGCGTGTGTGTGCATCTATATATACGCAAACACGCACACACACACACACATATATATATATATGTTTGGGTCACCACGTTTCAAGGGCTGCACTCGCAAAAGCTGCCTTTTTGCTGCCTGACTCAACAAGTTGTGTGGATCTTGGTGAAGAAGTTGCAGCTGCCAAAACGCGCAGCTGGAGCACATGACTTCACAGTCAAAAGGAGGTTCCAGTGTAGCGTTTGCTGAATCTTCATCCACTATCTTGGCAGGCCCAAAGCTGAAGGCTTGCGCACGGCTATGCGCTAGCACTAGGTCTCTGGTAAAGCAAAAGGTTTGCGAACTGAAAGGGAACGTATCAGGACAGGCGCTAACGCAGCAGCACACATCACCTTCTGTCGAGCTTGAGGTCGAAGCTCACTGATCACAGTAGAGGCTATAACTTCCTGCAAGTAGCTTTCAAGCGTCTGTAAATGGCGAATGCGCATCCTCCACAGTAAGGTTGGGAGGCTCACTCCAGTTTGGAATGCGTGGACACAACCTCCACCTCGCACTCCGCCAGGTGTAAGCCCACTTTCTTTACCAATCTGTAAGGCTTGGAGAATCGCGTCCCAACGTCGCCTGAAAGCACTCGGAGAACATTCTAACAGCCTATCTTCCGGGTGCAGGGACGCAAAGACTGCGTCTAAAAGGAAAACAAACTCGGCATTGTGGACGGCTAGGTGTTGTGTTCTGCCGCCTCCACGAAACCTCGTCTTTGGCTTTTGGATTTTTAGGTAAGCTAAACTGGAGTCTGTACTGAGCATATCTCTTGGAAGGATTAAATCTCTCCTCAAGGCTGCTAAGGGCTCGCCTGGCCGAGCTATTCCCATAAAACCCAGTGAAAGCACTCCAGCAAACTTAAACCACTTCCATCCAAGGCTAACAGCTATCATGGCTTTGAAGATAGCGAAAGGTAAAGGCACTCTATGGTTCGTAGGTTCGGCCATCTCCCATTTTGAAACCATCGTCCAGCAAAGTCCCATGTAAGGCTTGGCAGTTGCAAAATTCTGTTGTAAGAAAACCAGTAAATGTCTGAAGACAAACAAGGACTTTCCAGTGGCATATAAGTAGCTTCCGTACTCTCGAGCCAACAGAACTAGCAGTGCTGGGTGAGCCATGGCTGAACTGACACTGGCACGGCTGAGTGTCTTAAGCATCCATTCCACAAACGCTTCCAAAACTTTGTCTTGTATTTCTAACGTTCTGGCCTCAACAAGTGGCACATCTTCCAATGCTCCACTCCTAAGTCCTCCCCTAGGTCTTCGTGGGCCAGGATTGGTGGCTTCTCCAATGCGCAAACTGCCAGCCCGAGCGCAAGAGCTCGGGTCAAAACTCCTGTCTTCCTCTGCTAGCGCAGTAGCTATAGCTAACGCTCTGGCGACTGCCGATGCCACTCCTAGAGGGTAAGGTTGTGCAACCCTGGTCCATGACATCTTGTGTTTCTTCGACCTGCCCTTGAGAAGCTGATGTTGCACGCATCCACTGCACAACGTCTTCTTTCCTCCCAAACAAGTGTTGCTGAAAAACTTGGTACGCTTCCGCCACTTGGTGCCAAATCGGCAGTAGTCAACAAGCCAAGCTTTGAGTTCAGGCCACTTTTCGAGCATCCGCTTCCACTCAGGCAAACGAAACATCCAGGACGCCGTGGGGTTCTCTATCCATACTATTAAACCCTCATACAGAGCAGCATCTAGCAGTTCAAAAAACCAAATTGCCATACTATTTCCGGCTTCAACTTTAGCACGCATTTTCTCAGTCAGCTCGCTCTTACCATATGGTTCTGCACTTGATCGAACCGGTGGTCGTACGGCCATAGAGAAACTTGAACAAACAGGACCGCCTCCTGCTCCGACAAAACATCCGAGCCTCAAAAGTTGAATGAGCTGGACTCGCAACTTTGGATCGTCCAGGTCCTCATTTGGGCTATGTTCCAAGTCGAAGCAGAGGCTCCAGGTGCACCACTGCTTTGAAAGTTCCTTGGCAACCCCCCGCTCTCCTGAAAACAAGTCAAGGAAACCAGCTCGTTTAGGTGGCCAACTGACTCCTGCACTGCGTACTACCTGTCCTACAGGAAAACTTCTGAGGGCTTCTTTGGCTTCCGCACTTAAAAGGGGCGGTAAAGATCTGGCTGTAGACCTCACCTGTTTCTTCCGCTCTTTTTCCCGAGAGCGCCTGCGAAGGATTCTTCGTAAAAAAGCAGCCGTTATACTACATCTTCACTCCTTCACATCTGCTGATCTAGATCTTCACACCTTCACATCTGCAGATCTAGATCTTTCACAGATCTAGATCTTCACACCCTCACACCTGCAGATCTAGATCTTCACACCTTCACATCTGCAGATCTAGATCTTCACACCTTCACACCTGCAGATCTAGACCCTCACATCTGCAGATCTAGATCTTCACACCCTCACACCTGCAGATCTAGATCTTCACACCCTCACACCTGCAGATCTAGATCTTCACACCTTCACATCTGCAGATCTAGATCTTCACACCTTCACATCTGCAGATCTACATCTTCACACCCTCACATCTGCAGATCTAGATCTTCACACCTTCACACCTGCAGATCTAGATCTTCACACCCTCACACCTGCAGATCTAGATCTTCACACCCTCACATCTGCAGATCTAGATCTTCACACCCTCACACCTGCAGATCTAGATCTTCACACCTTCACATCTGCTGATCTAGATCTTCACACCTTCACATCTGCAGATCTAGATCTTCACCCTCACACCTGCAGATCTAGATCTTCACACCCTCACATCTGCAGATCTAGATCTTCACACCCTCACACCTGCAGATCTCATCTTCACCCTCACATCTGCAGAGATCTAGATCTTCCCTTCCTCACACCTGCAGATCTAGATCTTCACACCGTCACACCTGCAGATCTAGATCTTCACACCCTCACACCTGCAGATCTAGATCTTCACACCCCCCCCCTTCACATTCCACTCCTCACATCTGCAGCTAAGATCTTCACAACCCTCACAGCCTGCAATCTACACTCTCACTTCACACCTGCATCTAGATCTTCACACCTTCACTCTGCAATACTCCTCTCGCTCTTCTCTATTTCTCTCTTAAAAGGCTGTGGGGTGCCGCCGGAGCGCCACGAAACGCAACCCTTTCGCACGAAATGGACGTTGGACGTCCAAAACCTAGGTAAAATTGCGATTTTGAAGCGTCGCCGGCAACCCTTTCGCACGAAATGGACGTTGGACACCAAAAACTGAGGAAAAATTGCAACTTTGAGGTGTCGCGCGCAACCCTTTCGCACGAAATGGACGTTGGACGTCAAAAACGGAGGAAAAATTGCAACTTTGAGGTGTCGCGCGCAACCCTTTCGCACGAAATGGACGTTGGACGTCAAAAACTGAGGAAAAATTGCAACTTTGAGTGTCGCCCGCGCACCCTTCTCGCGACGAAATGACGTTAGGACGTCAAAACTGAGGAAAATTGCAAACTTTGAGGTGTCCCGCACGCCACCCTTTCGCACGAAATGACGTTTGACGTCAAAAAACTGAGGAAAAATTGCAACTTTGAGGTGTCGCGCGCAACCCTTACGCACGAAATGGACGTTGGACGTCAAAAACTGAGGAAAAATTGCGACTTTGAGTTGTCAATCGCAACCCTTACGCACGAAATGGACGTTGGACGTCAAAAACGGAGGAAAAATTGCGACTTTACTTTGTCAATCGCAACCTTTACGCACGAAATGGACGTTGGACGTCAAAAACTGAGGAAAAATTGCGATTTTACTTGGTCAATCGTAACGCTTTCGTCTGTGTAAAAGTGTCTGTGTGTAAAAGCCTCTGTGTGTAAAAGCCTCTGTGTGTAAAAGTGTCTGTGTGTAAAAGAGTCTGTGTGTAAAAGCGTCTGT